GGGCCTCCCCAAGGTTGCTGTCTCCTACCCAGGGGTCGTTTCGTAGAAAAAGAGCTAGGGGAACTCATTAGCATAACTCATTAGCATATGCCACACCCCCTGACATCACCGGAAGTGTGTCATAAGGCCACACACCCCACCCCCAATGGTCCCGGCCGCCGCCACCGGCCTTGCAGCTCCATGAGGGGCCCGGCGGTGGACCTGCAAGGCCGGCGGGAGTGCAAGGAAGCCCTGCGAAGGCCCTCCCTGGCCCCAGGCAGGCAGGGGTGGGGAGAGGCAGGGAGGAAGCAACTTACCCTCCCTCTTCTCCTGCCTCCTCCTGGCTGAATGAGGGCCGGAAGCGGGGCGGCCGGAAGCAGGGGGAGGGGCTTCATCATGTGCCCCGCCCCCCGTACCTCACCCGGGGGAACTGTGATCTCCCGCGATCCCCCGCCGAAATGACCTCTGCTCCTACCTACTGGCCACCCATCTGCCAGCAACCGGCCATAACAATCAGTATTGATGGGTCGGAATTTGTACCAGCAGCTATAACTACCGATTTTAAATGTTTATAATGTAATGTTTTATTGTGTTTTAAACCATATTGTATTATTTGAGATGATGTGACCTGCCCTGAGCCCGTTCACAAGATGGGCGGGATACAAATACGAAAAATAAATAAAAAATAAATAAATGGTAGGGTTGCCAGCTGGCCTAGAGAAAGATGCCCTGTCCCTTTAACAGAGATTTAATGGGATGTAACTTACAGGGTGCTTTATTTACTTTATTTATCATCCGCCTTTCCCCCCAAGTCTCTAATGTTAAGAAAAGCCACAGCTGCCCATTTTCAAACATTAAGTCTCTGAATGGGGCAGGATGTCTTTCTCCAGGCCAGTTGGTTGTGACACAGTAGAGGTATTAAAAAACAGACAGACAGCAGGGTGAAGGGGCCATCTAATACAGGAAGTACAAAATAAAATTTAATAATGTGAAATCCAAACCTATCAAGAAATAGAGAGCAAGTGTGGTTTAATGGTTAAAATGGCAGACTAGAATCTGGGAAATTCAGATTCAAATCCCCACTCTGCCATGGAAACTTGCTGGGCGACCTTGGTACAGTCACGGACTCTCAGCCTAATCTACCTAACAAGGGTGTTTGTGAGGATAAAACGGAGAAGAATTATGTAAACCACTTTGGGTCCCCTTTGGGGTGAAAGGTGGGATATAAATAAAATAAAGTAAATAAATAAAGTAAAGTAAATAAAGTAAATAAATCAAGTGCATGGGATAGAGCAGGTAGAGAAAGAGGTACTTTTCTCCCTTTCCCACAATACAAGAACTCGTGGGCACTCCATGAAATTGCTGAGCGGTCGGGTTAGAACGGATAAAAGGAAGTACTTCTTCACCCAAAGAGTGATTAACACATGGAATTCACTGCCACAGGAAGTGGTGGCGGCTACAAGCATGGATGGCTTCAAAAGGGAATCAGATAAGCATATGGAGCAGAGGTCCATCAGTGGCTATTAGCCACAAGGTATAGATAGAGACTCCGGGGCAAGTGATGCTCTGTCTTCTTGGTGCTTGGGGGGGTCAACAGTGGGATGGCTTCTAATGTCCTGGCCCCACTGGTGGACCTCCTGATGGCACTGGTATTTCTGGCCACTGTGTGACACAGAGAGTGTTGGACTGGATGGGCCTCTGGCCTGATCCAACATTGGCGTCTCTTATGTTTTTATGTTAACAAATAAAAATAAATACATATACTGGGACCATTCCTTCCTTATGTTAAGCTAGTTGGCGCCAGTCCTGGCCAGGAAGTACGGCTAAACTATTTAAGCATCCTAATTTCAGGGCTGGAGCTACAACATCTACGAAGCTTTCTCCTGAGATTTATTTATTTATTTATTTGTTTGTTTGTTTGTTTGCCTGAGAAATACACAAGAAAATCTCAGGCCAGGGGGGTGGGGCAGCAACCCTCCACTACGCTGCAGCGCCAAATAGTTTTCCTTGTGGAGGCTGCGTTGGAAGAGGGGACTGGCATAGATATCCCACCACCTTCATTCCAGGAGGAGAAAGGGGGCGGCGGCGGCAGCAGCCAGCCCGGCTCGCTCACCTTGTCAGCCTCCAACCGCGTCTCCAGCACTTTGCGGAGCTTGCGCGAGAGCGGGTTGGATCCGGAGGTGCCAGCTGGCGCCTGCGAGGAGGGAGGGAAGCCCGCTGCAGGACCGGAGGCAGCCCCAGTCCCGGGTGGCTCGCGCGGCTGGTCTTCGGGCGCCGCCACTACCGCCGCCATTTTCGCTCTTTTCCCTGAGTTGGCGTGGCCACCCGGACCAGGAGCGTCGCTGCACCGGGCCCAGCCGCCCCCTCCGCTGGGAGAGTGGGGTTCCGCCCTTCTCATCTGTGAGGGAATCCCACGGAGACGAACAAAAGAATCATCTCTCTGTTCTTCTATATTTGGAAAAGAGAGGCCGTGTCGTATCTTATACTAGAAGCACAAAACACTGTGCGAGCTTTCGAATTCTTCAGCATTCTTAATATAACCCCCAGTGTGTGGGTCTATGAGCTGGCTGACTTGGGTCCAGAGTATAATTCTGAATGGGGGGGCGTGGCCTCAGTGGGGAGGCAGCTCCCCAGGTCATCTGCCTTCCAGGACTTTTCCAGGCCCCCATAAGGGCTCATCTGCTCCTGCCAACCTCCAGGTGAGACCTGGAGATCTCCTGGAATGGCAACTGATCTCCAGGCTATGGAAAACATTTCCCTTGGAGATAACGACTCCTTTGAAGGGTAGATTTCATGTGTGACCAGACCCTGTGTAAAGATTTGATGGTAGCCAGGCCTTGGTTCCTGCCAGAGCACACCAGCACCGCTCTGCCAGTCAGGAGCCCAGGGGCCGGGCACATAAGCCCCGCCCCCTGCTCCCACTAGCCATCAGTTGGGCGGGGGGGGGGACGTTCCCCCGCCTCCCTAAGCCCCGGGGTGGTGGCCTTGGACTCGTAGGGGCAAATTCCACCTCTCGCGCTCAGACATCACACGCGAGAGGTCATGCTGGCTCCCCCAGCTCTCCTTAGGGGCTCTTTAAAAAGTTATGGCCGCGGCCCGCCTCCCTAAGCCCCGGGATGGTGGCCTCGGGCTCCTAGGGGCAAATTCCACCTCTCGCGCTCAGACATCACACGCGAGAGGTCATGCTGGCTCCCCCAGCTCTCCTTAGGGGCTCTTTAAAAAGTTATGACCGGCGCCTCTGTTCTCAGCGGCAGCTGCAACGCCCCCGTGCGCGGGGGGGAACGTTCCCTTGCCTCCCTGAGCCCCGGGGTGGTGGCCTTGGACTCGTAGGGGCAAATTCCGCCTCTTGCGTGTGATGAGGTCATTCTGGCTCCCCCAGCTCTCCTTAGGGGCTCTTTAAAAAGTTATGGCCAGCCGGCAGCAGCTGCAATGCCCGCGTGGGTGGGGGGCAGGGCGAAACGTTCCCTTCCGGCACCATTGTTATGGCTGGAGCCGCTGTTCTCGGTGGCAGCTGCAATGCCCGCGTGGGGGGGCGGGGCGAAACGTCCCTTTCCGGTGCTGCTGCTGTTCTCTGCAGCAGCTGCAACGCCGGCGCGGGTGGGGTGAGGTGAAACGTTCCCTTCCGGCGCCGCTGTTATGGCCGCCATCGCTGTTCTCGGTGGCAGCTGCGACGCCGGCACAGGGGGGGTGGGGCAAAATGTTGTCCCGCCTCCCTGAGCCCCGGGGTGGTGGCCTTGGACTCATAGGGTCAAATTCCACCTCTCGCGTCATTCTGGCTCCCCCAGCTCTCCTAAGGGGCTCTTTAAAAAGTTATGGCCGGCGCCACTGTTCTCGGCGGCAGCTGCAACGCCCTTGGGGGGGGCGGTGGGGCGAAACGTTCTCTTGCCTCCCTGATCCCCTGGGTGGTAAAGTAACTTTTCCCCCCACCATAGAGAACAATGGAGGGGATGGGGACAACCTGTTTGGGGGCCCGTATAATTGGACCCCTTGGTTCAATGCTCCTGAAACATGGCTGGTATCTTGGGGAGAGGCTCCAGCAGCCTCCACCTGCGATTTTGGACCCTCTCCCTCAAACCCCCTCCCCTCCAGCCCCCAGAATATACCCCATGTTTTCGCCATTGACTTCAATGGCCCATAGGATATAATGGGGCCGAACTGCAGGAAGCCGATTCAGATCAGAGATTCTGATTCGGCCCGCAGCAGCCTGAAAGGGGCCCAATGGGCCATTTTCGGGCCCTCCAGCAGCCAGCTTGCTCGGGCTCTCTGCAACCGCGGGGATCCTGAGCAAGGGAAGGGAAGGTGGTTTAAACAGCCTCTCCTTCCCTCCAGCAGCCGGCTTGCTCGGGCTCCCCAAGCAAACCAAGGGAAGGGAAGGTGGCAGAGCAGCTGGAGACATTGAGCCTCAGCTCCAGAAGTAATGAGCACTCGATCCCCGCCCCCAGCAGCCCTCAGGCCGGAGCACCTGGAGCAGTCTTGGGAGGCGGATTGGCAGCAAGCAAAACCAAAAGCGCAGGAACTCGAGAGAACTCCAGGAATGGAGCCGGTTCCTTTTCCACAGGCCAAAATTTGACCCACGAACCCTGAGATTGCTTTTTCTCATTTGTGAGTCTGGTCTCCGCACTCCTTTAACAAGGCAGCCCTGAAGCTTGGGGCGGTGGGAGTGTCTTTGCACGCAGCTTGTGCGCCTGGCTGAGTGCCTCTTCTGCTTGCCCACATCTCGCCTCTGCACCTCATCTTCTGCCAGGCATGGAGGAGCCCAGCTCGCCCAGGCTTCTTGCCTCCTGCTGCCTTGGCCCTCTGGTGCA